ATAAAGTGGTTTCTTCAACCAGAGTCCTTAGTTCGCTACAATACCTGATTTTTATTTGACATAACGCATGATTCTATCGAATTAGTGAGTTCTAACCTATAACTTTGGTAATCGACTATTGTATAAATCTCTTATCTACCGGTAAATATTTACATTTATTTTGTAGCCTCTAACCTTAAGAGTTCATCAGAAGTAGGGTAATATCGTGTAAACTGTTTCATGATGTATTTCTTAGTTAACAGGCAATTAGATAAGTTGATAATGCTATAAACTCCTTAGATGAATGCTGATGAAATAAATCTAACATATTCTTGAAGGGATTTTAATGGCTATCTGAATGAAGGTACTTACAATCGAAGGCTTTTAATCTGTTTGATTTTCACTTATTTATTGTTCACCAGATATATTTAATTACCTAGAGACAATTATATTGGAAATCAAGCTGATTCGATTTCGATTTCTACAAATTCCATTGATCAGTGACAGAAATAAAGTTGATACAACAATTTCTGACTAATCTACTTCAGGGAATAACTCAGCTAATCTTCATCTTAAAATTAAATCATTGTTATTTAATGGGTTTGGTAAAATCTTCTCAGTCAAACATGACACTCAAAGAAAAAGAAAATATAAATACTAAACTTAAAACTACAGTCCTTTTATCCCACGTTCGGGGTCGTAGTTGTGCACTACTGAAGAGTCCCCCACTTGTATGAAACTTCAGTCCTATGCTTCCAAGTTTTCAATGGCAATCTACTTTGGATCAACTCATAAATTCATACAATTAACCTATACAAATATTTATGTATTAACATCAGAAGGAGTTTTGTGGAGATTTTGTAATTTCATAGTTGAAAGCGTGAGACCACCATCGAAAACCTGGAAACACTGGAAACACTTCCTATTTTGGGGCTTCTCAGCAGTGCACATCCACGATCCCGCACCTGCGAGATTTGAACTCAGGACCTATCAGTCTCGAGCCAGAGCCCTTAACCGCAAGACCACTAAGCCGGCATCCGATGGTGTTAATGTCTAACTTCAACCAGTCCACGAAATCGAGCAACCGTTCACCAATTGTCTTCAGTGAGTTGATATCTCACAACAGACGTGGTTTGAACTCCACTGGTTAATGCTTCTCACTAGAACTCCTTGATGTACTTCTCAAAGTCAGTCACTAGTGAGCATATGATTATATTATTTATCAGAAGGGGTTTTGTGGAGAGCACAGCTGAGGAGTCCCATAATAGGACGAAACGGCCGTCCAGTACTTCCAGGTTTTCCATGGTGATCAAGCTTCAATTGACTTACTCTTTCAACTATGAAAGTATTAACATCAATTAAATGGTAAGAAAGTATACTTAAATTAAACAACAACAACAACAACCAAAAATCTACCTTTCACATTTGAATTAACTTTATCACCATGAGATGATTTTAAATTTTGTTTTAATGATGATGGTGAATTATGTTTTTTCATTTTTGTACCAAAAAAAAATAAATAACATGAAAATGATTGACGATTTAATGCATAAATTACACCTAATCCATGACGATCAGTATTATTATTATTATTAGAATTAAGTTCTGTAAATTTTTGTTTTTTTGTATTTTCAAAATTTTTATCCAATGTAGTAGATATTACTTTCACTGAAGGTAATATACCAGTAGTAGTAGTTGTTGTAGTACTAGTAGTAGTAGTAGTTAATAATTCATGATCCACATCTACTTCAATTAAATATTGAAATCCTGTAGCCATCAGATCAAATTCATGTATAATAATATCTTATGTAACATTTGTAATTTACACTTGTATTTTTGTTTTCTTTATTAAGTAGTATAATTTAATATGAGTGTTAGTGATTACATACTTTGTATATAGATTATCCATATTTTTAAAATACATCAAAATATACTACTGAATTTCTAATCTGTTTTGTAAACGAATTATAATTATTCTACTTATACATATAAATTCCTTTATTCTAATTGGTTAATTAAATTGTACTCAATTTTTGATTGGTTCCTTGGAATTTTTTTGTTTTTTTTGTATGTTTATGTGAAATGTTAAATTTTCATTAGAGTTGTTGTTAAGAGGGAAATGATACGACTATACCAGACTCATTTCAAGGTCATACAGTGATTTAATATTGTTAAACTGAAATGGGTTTATCCAAAAAATTTTATCTATATTGTTTGTTAATTGTAAATGGTTACTAGGTAAGATTGAGGAATGGTATCAATGTTATTAAATATATTGAGTAAACATAATTTAATAAAACAAAGCTAAATAGATAGATTATTTTAATTAATCTATAGAAAACCTGGAAGTACTGGACGGCCGTTTTGTCTTATTGTGGGACTCCTCAATAGTGAGCCTCACGGGATTCGAACCCAGGACCTATTAGATTTGCGCACGAGCGCTTAACTTGTAGACCACTGAGCTGGTCGCCATCCAACGGTGGTAATGTCTAACTTCAACTGATCTACGAAATTGAGCGACACATCCACCATTGTCTTCAGTGAGGTCTAGCCTCAATTGACTCATGATCACAGCTATTAAAATTACTATAATATCCACAAAAAACCATTCTGACATTAATCTATTATTGTTAAATTTATAAATTAGATGCCATCCAATTAATTTATAAATTGATTTTTGTCTCAGTTTCATTTCAGATATGAAGTAGATATTATCATGTGGAGATAATGTTTAAAAAGTCAAATTAAAGAAATCTATGGTATTTTACCATAACGGTGAACGTCTCTTGAATATTACTTGTGACATTATAAAGAAATTTACATTAAGTATTAGGTTATCGATGTATATGTGTACACTGAATCTTTTATTAATATTTAGCTCTGGTTAAATACACACAAATAAATGATCATTGATAATGTCATCAGAAAGATTTAAACTTTAAAAATGTTCATTTTGAATGCATATTTAGATTTATGTTAATAATAGTTTCAAAGAAACGTCCCCATTTCTAACAAGTCATGTAAACTGATAGGGTTTATAGGCAAAGACGGGTGGTAGCTAGTAGTGGAATCTAGAACCTGGGTTTCATCCTATTTGGGACTTATCAGCTTGATGTAGCTATATCATAGAGTCGACGTTCACTCTGGGGCACGAATCCAGGACCATTTCCTTTAAACACCATCACGTTATCCACTGAACTACTGAGTACTGAAGCGAATGGTACTGGGGTCGAGTCCTATAGTGAAAATGAACTCGGGGATGCAAGTACATCCAGCTGATGCGTCTTAAGTAGGGTGAAATGAGCGTCCTAGTTTCCACAGCTACCTACCATCCATCTTTGCTTATATAGTTTGTGAATTAAGGTGATATCGAGGCGATCCACACAAGATGGACATATGGCAATAAGAGACTAATCAATCTCAGTCCTAAATAACAATGGGAATATACAAACAAACAATCCTAAATGAATGTGATAGGTTTATATAGATCAGTTTAATATTTAAATGGGTTACATCACAGATTTATATCAGTTCGTGCATTACTGAAAACTGGGAAGTATTGGAATGATGTTTCTCTAATAGTATGAGATTTCACAGTAGTGAGAAATCACAAAACTAGAGCAGATAAAAATTCAGGATATCAATTTCTCGTGGTAATTGTTCAACCTTCAAACTAACGAATTAGAATGGAATACATCTCAGATTCAATCAGTTTGAGGTATAAAGTGACAATCATTCGATTGCGTTGGTGATCAAGTCGTTAACTTATCTTGAAGCCAATCAATAATGGCTATATGATTGTAGTATTGATGAAGCGTTTTATGCAGTCTGGTGATAAGTAGGGTTTTCGATTTACAATCCTGAAGATTTTTAAACTATGATGAAACATCTATCTAGAGATCACAGATTTTCGGTGGTACGTTAAATGATATCGACCCATAACAAAAACCACAAATGAATCCTATGAATATGTGGAAACATTACATATATTGGGAAATGTAAGAAAGAAAAGTAATCCTAACCACTTAAATTATTTGTTTATGTCATCTCTACGGACTGGGCTGATAAAACTTTTTATACCTATGTTTTATATGATAGATAGACGAAACTACAATACCATGTTTAATGCATATGAATTTTTTTACGACTAATTTTGTTCTGTTGTTGCATGGTGACGGAGTTGTATAAAGCCACTCAACAATTCATCTCATTTCTTGTTATATGTCACAATGGTAGATTTTATCAATCACCTAGACATTTATACATTGTTATTCAATATATGTCGTCTGGAAATACTCACATTAATGAAGTAGTAGTTTCTTTTCAGTTAAAAAAACACAGATTCTCCTCCAGTAACTGTTTATATGATTATTTTTAATGCACTAGTAGTTACAATGGTTAAGCAGTCGTGAAATTATACTTCATGTTCATTGAAAAAATTGTGAAAACGGTTCGTAATTATAGATTCAGGCCAGTGTTATTAAGTGATCTGTTCTCCTACAGTGTTAATGTCCAACTTTAACAAATTTACAATATTGCGTGACCGTTTTCTATTGTCTTCGATGGGTATCGGCCTCACATCCGATACGGTTGAACTCCACTGGTCACAGCTTCTCACTAGAACTCTGACAATTACCTCTTGAAGCTAGTCAATAGTAAGCACATGATAATTGTCAATAAGGACTTGTGTGGTTCGACGAGAAAACGAAACAGCTGTCCAATACGTCCAGGCTTTCAGTAGTGGTCTAATTTAGATTTGTTCATGACTTCGATGAAATTCAACAATCTCCACAACCCTATACTAAGCCTTATCGTTATGTTTAAATTCTTATTAGGGTAGTTATCAGAATATCTGGTTTAAAATCTGTTTCTGAATTTGAAGTCAGTCGGCTCTATTTGTCTGCCATGAGTCTTTTGAAAGAAAAAAAGAAAACATGCATGGGGAAGCAGGATATAAAACGTAACTTAAATGGTTAAAATAATTCTTTACCAAATATATGTAGATAAGTGTATCTACTTACCAGGACCATAAGCCCGAACAAGGCCAGGATTTGATTTTGGTCTTAAAGGTGCACCATCTTTTAGTTTAGCACTAGGAAATTGACTTAAATATGTCATCATAGCTTTTTCATCAACTCTAGGATTAGTCATCTCTTCTGGACGTATTAATTGTGGAACATCTAACCATTGTTCAGCTGCACCCATTGCTTCACGAGCATTACGAAGATTTTGTTTCGGTTCCCATTCTCGCCAATCAGGGCATAAACCTGGTGCACATGCATCAACTAGTGCACCGATTGCAATACCATCATTCCAATCTGTTGTGAAATTTTTAACTGGTCGATCAGCTAATTTATTATTTAACCAAGATAAGAGACGTTGTTTTGGTGTTGGGCCTTGAGCCTACAACATTTCAGAAAATAGATAATGAACAACCAAATCAGTTAAATAAGTAAAGCTTATCAAAGATAAATATCATTCAGTGTTTTCTCTTTTCTAACCACCAAAGAAAGTTATCAAAAGTGACACAAAATAACTGCATTAAAACAACAAAAAAATCAATCACACTTTAGATTCGGTGCAATAATTAATGACTGAAAGCAAAAGAAAGAATATGTGTATGTGGATATTTGTGTGAGTATAAGCTAACCATAAAATTATCTTCTGTATAGTTGTAAAAAAGCTTCGGTTCTAATGGTTGTACTGTTGGTTTCATAATTCGTCTATATCTGCATCTACAAGACCACTAAAGATAAACAAATCACATAATAAACATTTTTGTTTTTGAATTGACATTTATTTATTTCCAAGAAGAATAACCAACAACTTATAACGTTATTTAGTTATTGTCAACTAGTGATGCATACTGACATTGTGTGCAGTAATAATGAAAAGAAAAATAAACAGACTATAAAAATGATTTGTGGAGTATTTCACTAAAGTCAGTGGTCTATCGGTTAAATGTTCTGGCGCGAGACTGGTAGGTCCTGGGTTTGAATCTCGCGAGGCGAGGTCGTGGATGCGCACTGCTGAGGAGTTCCACAATAGGACGAAACAGTCGTCCAGTGCTTCCAGGTTTTCCCTGGTGGTCTAACTTCAATTGACTCACGCTTTCAACTATGAAAATACTAAATTCTCATAAAACCCCTTCTGATAATAATTTTAATAAATGCTTGATATATACGTATTCAGCTGTGGTCAGTAGAGTTTAACCATGTTCATCATTCTTTATGCTTAGCCATTTGATTAATGGAATTCAGAAAGTAACAGTGGTTTCACTTTGTATGCAATTAAATAATTATCTAAATATTTAACATCTTCAAACTTCATTAGGAGAATCCAGACATTACTTTGGGTTAACGATGCAATCCATTGTCTGTATGAACATTTAGATATATCACAGTGGTAAGATTCTTCAAAGATGTTTATTTGATTTCTTACAGGTGCATCGAAATTCTGGCTACTTCAAAATCTTATTTTAGTTTAGTATTTTCGGGAAGTAGGTCATAATCCCTAGTTGACTACCTTTAACTTGCGATCAACTGTGAGCATATTTGACGAAAACACCGGCATGACAAATCATTCAACCCTTTTACACAGTTTACTTAATATGCTAATTCTAAGGACAGAATATCACTTGAAGGCATTTGAATTATTAACGAATCATTGTCTTATACTGGTTAATAGCAATTTAATAATTATGTAAAATTATCAGAAGGGGTTGTATGGAGATTTTAGTAATTTTATAGAGTTGAGATCATGAGCCAGTTGAAGCTAGACCACCATGGAAAACCGGGAAGCACTGGACGGACGGCCGTTTCTTCCTATTGTGGGACTCCTCGGTAGTACACATCCACGATCCCACCTCGTGAGATTCGAGCCCGGGACCTACCAGTCTCGCACCAGAACACTTAACCGATAGACCACTGACTTTAGTGAAATATTCCACAAATCATTTTTATAGTTTGTTTATTTTTCTTATCATTATTACTGCACACAATATCAGTATGAATCACTAGTTGACAATAACTAAATAACATTATAAGTTGTTAGTTTTTCTTTTTGGAAATAAATAAATGTCAAAGACCACTGAGCTGGTTGGCATCCAACGGTGTTAATGTCTAACTTCAACCAATCCACGAAATTGAGCAACCATCCACCATTGTCTTCAATGAGTTGATATCTCCCAACAGACCTGGTTGAACTCCACTGGTTACTGCTTCTCACTAGAATTCCAGGAAATGCCTCATGGAGCCACTCTCTAGTGAGCACTTGATCGTTATCAGGCAGGGTTTTGTAGAGATTTCAGTAACTTTATAGAATGGTTGCTCAATTTCATAGATTGATTGAACTTAGACATTAACAACGTTGGATGCCGGCTCAGTGGTCTGGAAGTTAAGTGCTGTGGCGCGAGACTGGTATGTCCTGGGTTCGAATCTCGCGAGTGCGGGATCGTGGATGCGCACTGGTGAGGAGTCCCACAATGGGACGAAACGACCGTCCAGTGCTTCCATATTTTCCATGGTGGTCTAGCTTCAACTAACTCATGATCTCAACTCTATGAAATTATTTAAAATGTTGAAAGTGTCACTTAACTATAATTTATTAAAATAACACTTCCCTAATTTAGTCATGACGAAATAGAGTAAAATCTGAGTCTATTATTAATGTTACCACTACAATAATTATTTTTTTATCCAATAAATCAATTTCCATTCTTAACAGTACTTCATTTAAACTGAAATATCTTCATCCGGAAGGAAACGCCTGATTACGGTTACAATTATGAACTAACTATTCTGATTAGTGTATGTTTTCCAAAGAATCAATAATAAGCTTTCGTCTAGGATTAAACTATTGTTAGAAAATAACTGAAATCATTGATCAAACTGAATTATACCTGACATACATATTCTAATTCTATGCAATGCAACAGGCTAACTTACATATATATACGTAAGTACAGGATTGAATACTTATGCGACACAGCATCATAACTAGACATGCTTACATTTAGCCAAGTACTTAGAGATGTACAGTATTAGAAGGAAAAAAAACACCCCAACTTAGTATAAACAAATAAAGTGTAATAAAAATTAATTTAATAACAACCGTTTATTGGCATTTTGAATAAAAACATACATACACACACACACACTTATTACATTTTGTTGGGTTATGGGCGTAAACATGACAAACTATATTGTACCCATACAAAGAAAATAAATCTCTGTTGATCGTCGATAATAAAAATTAAAAAAAACAAAAAACATTAAATCCATAAATCAACTTTAGTTCCATCTTTAGGAAAAAAAGTAATAAACAGAAAATCTAAATTACAATGGGGAATTTAATGAGATTAGATTGATTGATTGATTAATGGATTGTAGTACTTTTCATATTTCTATATATTGTTCAATTACTGCTTGTAATCGCGGTAGCGTAACCTAATGGTGTAGTAGTTATCTAATGAACATAGTACTATATCGGACAAATTAATTGAAATTAAAACTGGAAAGGAATAGGTTACTATTTTGTTGTCTAAATGTACAATGATCACCGTGAGAAGTGAGGAAATTGAGTTTCGTTATGAAGTTCCACGTTGTGAAACATATTACTGTTGTATAATTCTGAACAGTCTTCTCATCTGTTCTCTACGAATTATGTCAATGCCGTTCTTTTGATTCACTGAAAATCTTCACTCCGTCTAACAATTGTATCAACTCCGAAGTCACATTTCACTATACACTACTTACAAATAATTTTGTGAGTAGCACCCATTACACTATTACTGAGCAACAAGAAAACATTTTAAAATTTATAATTACAAGTTTTTAGTGATTATTCAACGGTGAATATTTATTGACCTCATAGGAATTTAAATTAAAAATATGTTCATTGGAATGACTATTTTTATTACAATAATAAACAGAAAAATAAGGGAATAATACATTTTTCTAAACTCACTCCAAAATCAGGTTCACCTTCCCAAAGTGGAATTGTTATTGAATAATGCAAAATAAGAGTCCAGATTAAACCAAGAATAAGCTTACTACGACAATCAACAATATCTGAACTATCTGTATAAAGAAAAGAATATAAAGACAGTTAATATATTTTAAAATAAATCTGACAATCAAAAGTCTATGAAATTAGATAACTTATAGGATTGACTATAATTTTTATAATGAAGGTTTTGTTGGGTAATAGAGTTTGCATCATGAACTGAAATAAGTAAACAGCCGTTGAAAACCAGGAAGCACTGAACATCTATTTCTTTATAGTAAGAGACTTTTTAATATTTATGACTCATGAACCTACCGGGTACCGAACACAGGACCTTCAGGTCTCTTAGTGAATGGCATAGGTCAGTGCATGTTCATTACAGGGGATTTTCATGCTAAAACAAAACATTTATTCGGTGCTTCTTAGTTTTCAATGGCCATCTGACTTAGATCAGTCTGCTTTATAAGGTGTTGAATCGAATGTGCCGTTTGGTAAGATAAATGGTTTTGTTTATATCATTCCTGAGTTATACTCAGTCTATTAAATTACTGCTCCCCCTATTCACAGCCACATTTGGCCAAATCTTGTACAAATGTTTTTTTTTATTTTCTAGTACGATGTGGTCTGTCTGTTTGGTAAATAAACCCAGTATGTTTGAGAAAAATGATTCATATTGCGGAGGCTGTTATTGATGTTCTGGACTTGAATGACTGGACTAGACTGCCCATATAGCTTTTGTGCATCATTGGGCGATCGATAAATTGACTCCTCTCTAATTAGCGGGAATCAGTACGTTCATATATTAACTGGGCACTCATGCAATCGATATAACACATTTATTAATATAATGTAGATTTATATTCTTATAAGTCTTCAAACAAATGAAATACAGTGTATTATATGACTAGAAATGAAATTGACACACTTCGGTTTTGGATGAATAACCGCTGAACTATTGAGTTAGATATTGTTGAGCAACGTTCAACAACTTGGTAAAATCCAAAAACTATACAGGTTAACATATATTGCCCCATAATAATGAAGTATGTTTATATCACTTAATAAAAAAAATTTCGGACAAAAATTGCATGTAAGAGAAGCATTGGTTCGTGAATGATAACAAAACAAATCAGAAAGTTCACCACTTACTTATTTCGATCTATTGTATCCAGTCAACAATAAACAACTAGATATGACAGTGTAAATATCTCCGTTATACAAGCTATCATCTTCATCTTGAAAGGCTTAATAGTAACATCTCAGACTGAGACATCAAGTAAAGCACCTCTCAATCCAACCGCTCTCAACCCTCTAACATTCTCTAATTCACACAAAAATTCTTTGAATTTAATCGAAAACTAGAATGTTGCAAGTTCAGATTTTATCTAACTGATGTTGAATCACAGTACATGTTCTTCAAAAGTAATAACCTGGTAATTTTTTCTTCAAACAAAGCTGCTAATAAATAAGAAAACAAATAGCTATGATGTTTTGAGCGGTGAACAAATTTGTTTGCCTCAGAGTTCTAGACACGCACTAGGCCGCACTGATCATCATCGCGGTTGGTTGGCCAGGGTCAAGTTTGTTTGACGTCCTGGTGATACGTTTTATAGGACTGATCCCTAGAAGTACGATCTCAATAAATTAAACTGATCTAATTTAGGGTATTCATGATTTAAGTATCCTATATTATCAGTGAGTACCAGTCAGTATTAGCATCACTAACAAAAAATATAAAAAAACATAGGATTTGAAAATATGGCAAAAAAATCACCTATATTCACTAGTCGAAGACCTTCATTCTCTTCAAGAAATCTTAAAACCATTGTAACATTTTCTAATTTCTGGGTACGAAAACTTGGTTTTCTATTCACATGTTTAAATTGTTGTCCAGATAACGACTCAACCAATGCAATCAAACGAAGACCATCAGCTAAATCAAATTGAAGATCATCTACGGAAACATTTTTAGGTTTAAGATGTTCATTTGCCCATCTAGTGAAAGTATTTTTTTGAATAAGCTTCCATTCAGCATCTTCGGCCAATTCCCTCTCAGCCATTGGTATCTCTTCTTCATCTTCATCCACATAACCGGCATCTGGATCTGGATAGTCCATTTCGTTAGGAAAATGTTCTAAAAAAAGCAGCAAACAGTTTGTTAGAAAATAGTGTGCATTTTATTACATTCCTGTATTCTGCTGCTAGTCACAATTCAAATTAACTGAAACCTTTAGTAAAGATGTCACTAACGAGACATTCATTCTGGATGTCAACAAAGACCAATCAAAACCCAGTCCTGAATATCAATGTCACAATAATATAAATATTTTCAGTAAAGGGTTAAGGAGTTTATTGAATTTCATCGAAATAATGAACCGATCACTGTTAGAACACCATTAAAAACCTAGACGTACGAGACGACCGTTTCGTCCATGAACGCGAATAATAAGTGGCATTGAATGGTAAAATTTAGGTTCTTTAAATGTTAACTGAAATATCTATTTCTTATTGAGAGTAATCACTCCTCTGTTGGATTGATTAAATATAAATCATTGTATATCATTCAAGAAGCACAAGTATTGTTTGTTACATATAAACATATCCCAGTGATCTGCAAAATACATATTTTAACTTACAATTTAGTAAAAGTATGAGTTGAATGAGATTAGACAGCTGATCAACAAATGTTTCCTCTTCAATGGACACGGCTTCAATACAGCATAGAATATATTAAGTATCAGACGTTTATAAGTGTAGAAGATTTAGTATACAATCAAAACTTCAAGTTATTGATTTCAAATTAATGTTAGCAATAGAGAGTTCACCATGATGGCTTATTTCTTAACAAGGAAGGCACATTGATTTTGAATTTGAACAATGCATATAAGTGAATAATTAGATCATCATTAGGCTTTACTCAGATATACTGCAATATCTATATGCATTTACGAAATCATTGAACTAAGGCAGTTTATCAGTTAGTGATAACAGTAGATAATAAAAGTACATATTGATAGTACATATTGATAGTGTGATGACAAGTGTACTAATTGTAATAAGAATAACAAGGGCTTGAATCCATGTTTCGTAATGGAAAACAGGTCAATGATTTGAAAAATATAGATGCTGAAGCAACATTCATAAAAATCATAAGACTACACAATAAGAAGTGTTCAGACAGTTGAACAATGAAGTATAGATTTGAAAACAAGGAAAAAAAGAGGGTGAAGAAAGGTAACCAAACACAGAGTATGGAAAATAATAGCAAACAAAACCTTCTATTAAGATTAATTCGTCCAAGGAAGAGATAACGGTGTTAGAAATTTCTTATGGTTATAAACACTTGGATTGTTTGCTCGAATGCCTATAGCTTCCACTATGCGTAAAAAACGAGATCGAACTGTATAAGGAAAACTAGTAGGAATAAGATAAACCACTTCAAATGACCTATCTCTGTATACTACATGACTGCTATCGATCAAGTGTCGTTGAACGGAGTTGCATATTGTTTTAAGGATGCCCTTTCCCAACCATGATAAGTGTTGACCAACTTATTGGTTTAGTTACCTGGTTATGCATCCAATATAGCGTTCTCCACGGGAGCAGCTGAATTCGTACATACACGTAGATGTGGCAGGTAACGTATCCTTTAGTCGAGGAATCACAATAGGTCGGCTCGAGAACGTTCTCTTGATTGGTGACAATTTAATTGAAAACAATATTATTCACTTAGATATGTTGTTCTAATTCATCTAACATTGTTTTGTTGTATGTTCTTACATTATACTTTATCACGTCTGAAAAATGATGGTTATGTAAACTATCCAACTTTTCAAGAGACTCTTCAAATAAAAATTTTTAGTACTAATGGTTTTGAAAATGAATATCGACTATAAACGAACTTTTTATACAGCATGCTTAGTAAAATTCATACGGTTAATCTTTATTGACTTTAGTTTACTATCATAAAAATATAATGACATAACCGTGAATCAAAGCCACATTGTTAAGTACAAGGAGATAGTAGTTGTATTTTGTAAACAGGATTCAAGTAATGAGAAAATGCTAATTTTAGATTAGTTTTAAACAAATAACTATGAAAATTTATACTTGATGTTTGTTAGACACTGAATATCATACCAGGATAATCGTAATGGGGAGTGATGGAAACTGTAGTAATTTTGATGGTTGAATTCATGATTCGATCTAAGCTAGATCACTGTTGAAAACCTAAAAGCACAACTACTCAGAGGCGCACATCCATGATCCTGCGCGTGAGATTCGAACCCAAAGCCTTCGATCTTGCGTTAATACCTAACTTATAGACTACTGAGCAAGGATTTAACTGTGTTAATGTCTAACTTCAATCACTCCATGATATTGCGCACACACGACATAGATTGGACTCCACTGGTCACGGCTTCTCACTGGAAATCTCGGAGTCCCATACTAGAACGAAACAGACGCCCAGTGCTTCCAGATTTTCATTGGTTGTCTAGCTTAGATCGACTCATAAATTCAACTATTAATAAAAGGATAAGACAGGAGATTCTAGACCATCATGAAAATGATTAAAGTAAAAGTCCATTGATGTTCTTCGGTTTTATAACGCCCATTTGAAAACATCGGTTTTGCTATTATAAGACCGGAAACATTGTCTCAAATCTTGAAGATTTTTTTACTGAAAAATCTGGTCGGTATATTTAGTAATCTAACTTTCTTTAAGTTACATGATTGACTGTTAAGCTTCCAAAGATAGTCCTAGACATCATCAACGTCTACTTTGAATAGAATTTGAAATAGGTACTCAATGCTGTAAAATACATTACCCTGAGCTTAAAATTTTTTTATCATTTAAAAGTGAATAAAATTGAGAATAAAATTTTATAAAAAACATTTTTTTAAAACAACACCGGTTGTTTGATTTTAAATATAAGTCAATTTGATTTGAAATAAATTATATAATGAGTTATAAGCAAAGATGGATAGTGGCTAGCAGTGGAATCCAGTTCGACGCGCGTTTCGTCTTTTTTGAGACTCCTCAGCTGAATGTACCTGCATCTCAGAGTTGATGTTTACTCTGGGACACTAACCCCATACCTTTCGCCAATAAGAGACTTATCAATTGCAGTCCTAAACATCAATACAATTCAGTTGTTTGGTAGAATACTGCATGATTTTTTAAACTAATCTCTTCCCAGCAGTTTTCATATTATGATAATTCATCACTGTCCACAACGGGACTGATCGGAAAAGAGGAGAAGGGATCAGTTAATGACATACTGTTGGTCTATGAATGTCTTTTAAAGCCAATATCTGTCAGTCTATCACAACCCCTGGTTAACATCTTCGAGGTATTGCATCTCAGTGACTTGAAACATTACCAGTAATGGACCAGAATACAAACCAGCGGCAACAAAAAAATATTTGTGTAATTTTATGAATCAAGTACTATCTGTTTCTTTTTTAACATTTTACCAATTAAAATTAGTTTGGTTTCAAAACTGATTATAAATTAAACCATAAGTTTCAATACCTGTAGAGTGGAGACAGTTATCTACCTCAGACAATGAAAGATGGTCGGACAATTTTTTAGATGTTTGAAGTTCGATATTAAAGCTATCGGATACCGACTTTGTGGTCTAGAGGTTAAGTGTTCGCTCGAGAGACTCAAGGTCTTAGGTTCAAATCTTGCTTGTGGAGTCGTGAATGTGCGCTTTTAAGGAGTTCCGTACTAGAACGAAATGGCCGTCCCATGACTCCAGGTTTTCAATGGTGGTCTAACATTTATCGATTCATGTTCTCGACCAAAATTTTCTTGCCTGTTTTGACACATTTTCAGTAGGTCAAGATAAGATACAGTATATCAAATTGAATTTATACAGTACAATTATATCAATATATTTTAGATATGTTTTGAATTGAATGTCGTAAAATAGTCTAGAAAGCCAGTAAACGAAAAAAATGTACTGATTTCGTGTCTGGTTGCATGAATACTGATTATTAGTTGGTACTAAGAAGTTGTAATTTTGTTGATGATAGGTAGTAAATTATTCAACTAAGCAATTAAAAGTACGTGTTATAAGTATCTTCTGTTTGTAAGAGTTTTAGTAGTAGCACAATTCATTTATCAACTACAATTTAATGCAGTTAGCTGTAAGTCACCCTACTTAATTTGAAAGTTAGTAATATCACCCGAGTGCTGCGAGTGAATCAGGGTTCAAATCCATCATTTGACGGTTAAACTGCTATTTATTTAACTAACAACTGAGTTCCCCCTTTAAAGAAACCAGTTACATGTAATAATTCAGCTTAATTCCTCCCTAAAATGATGTGGCAAGAGTAGAATTTATGGATGAACCAAGCTAACAGGTCTTGAATTCTGGAGAGAAGTTAATTCATTCATGTGGCTAAATAGCGTTTCAGCATTATAGCTGATGTCAGTTCGTGATGAAAATGCTGAATCTTATTCCTAACCCTAACCATCAACTGTAAATCCTAATCTTAATTCCTCACAAAGTTTTATAACCCTCATTTAGCAGTAATATGTGGTTGGACATTCTCAAGGTCTTTTTAGCGTCACTCAAAGTTCGTCCATAAGTTATGATCCCACCAAATAAAGCTTCCTAGATTCCTATCACATTAGCCTATTTTATCATACACAGTGAAAAGTGTTATAGGGGTGCCGGAATATAAATTCATTTTCACGTTTAAGATTCCTTTTAGAACATATAACAAACTCATTAAGACTAATAGAATAATCTTTTTACTTTAGTATTGTGTCTTATCAAACTTAAAGTAATCCTACTATCAGCTGGTTAAATGAGTTGAAAGTCAAAATCATTATGGTATATGTATAACTAAACCCTTGATTTCAGGTTATTCTCTCTACGAAGATGCATTTCTTTTCGTAAAGACAATTTTTAAAATGACAGAATAAATGTAAACTTAAATAAAACAATTATTGTTTACATATTGCTGTTGTAGTTAGATCAATCTTACTCAAATATAACTGAAGTATGTTTAACTTCAACGATCGTGCATCAACACTCAAGATGTGTGCTACTGATGTCGACAGATATTAGTAGTATGTATAATCAATCGAAAGTGGAATACATGATGGCAGGAGGTTAAGAAAATCAAAAGAAGAGAACGAGAACAAAGAATGATTGTTGTTGAAACGAAAAAACAATGAAATCTGAGACAATTGATTGACTTTTTCCAAGTGAATTATTTACTGTATGGTTCTCAGATTTTACTAAAACATTCTATAATTTTGTATTCAAATACATTTGATTGTCCCGGATTGTGTTCTCTTTCACTACAAAGAAACTCACTATTTCTACTAAACAAAACATTACTCCGGTTTTCTGGAGAAACATATCCTATTTCTTACATCATCTTAAATCCAAACTCTCATTAAACATCTCATGTATTTCTACCATTATCTCAATGAAATATCAATAGTTTGTTAGATAGTGTAAATACTGTCATATACTTAACAAATATTCTTAACAAATAGTAGTGTGGTGGGAGTTACTTATATCCACATAAGTAGTATATAATGATGGTCGGGCATTGAGTGCATTTCAGTAGAACATCGATAAAGAAAGAACGGAAACGAGACGCAATTCATATGAAAATGTATATACAATAATAATCGGAGATGATAAACTGATATTTGCAAAAGGAACGGTTAAGATTGAGACAATCGACTGATAGTTTGCAAATTAACTATTTACAATATGGTTCTCATATTTTACTGAGATTTTCTGTAATTTTGTACCTAAATACATTCAATTGTCCCCACTTGTGTTCTTATTCACTACACTAGTAAGTATACAATAACAATATACAAGTTTATTGAACAAGACATAAGTTCTAGTAATGGTTCATTGGTTTCTTATGATAAATGTATTCTTAAAATAAGTAATGTAGTTTTTCGTATCTTGATATACTTAAATCAAGTTTGAATTGAAATGTGTTTAATTGTTTATTTTTAACGTTGAATATAAGTTTCTGTTTTTCATAAAGGTTAATCAGTAATACAGTTGTCAGAAAGTCTAACAAACTTGTGATTTTAGTAGTCTGCTACAACATATCTTTTTAAGTAATTTTAAGTCAAGAATCGATTTCGGTGGGGATCTAGTGAACGAGAACACAATCCGGGACAATCAAATGTATTTGAATACAAAATTATAGAATGTTTTAGTAAAATCTGAGAACCATACAGTAAATAATTCATTTGCAAAATGTCAATCAAATGTCTCAGGTTTGATTGTCCCTTCGTTTCCACAGCTATCATTCTTTGTTCTCGTTCTATTCGTTTCGATTTCCTTAACCTTCTACCGTCATGTATTACACTTTCGATTGATGATACATACTACTAACATCCATCGACATCGGTAGCACACACCACAGGGATACCATAATAAATATTACCAGGACATTTAAATAATCTGCACAAAATTGCATTTATCTGTTAAAACTCCTTTTATTTACTGAATGATTGATACGATTTAATAAACTGTGCCAAAATAATTAAACTGTAATATTATCAAGGGTTATTAAACTTTAGGCCTCATTTATGTTTTCTATCCATGAGCTTTTAAACAACACACTATTTAGATCTTTATTAAGATCGCAAACATTTGGAAACTTGAATAGTTAACAGAAAAATCTAATATTTCAGACAATTGTGTGAAATGTCATGGAATGATATTGTCTCAATGCTTGTTTTTACGAGTTCGATAGTCATAATGAAAATCTGGGTAAAGCACTGATTATCGGTTCGGAACTATTAAGTGAACGAAAACTCAGGTGCTGAAAATTTGACAATTACATTAAATCCATCATTTACACAGCTTCTTTGAGTTGTCGTTTACATACTCCATTATTCTTTTAATTCTATTGTTATTTAGATTGCTCTCCGATTTCTTTTCTGTTTTCTAAATCTCAACTGCCAAGCAATCAACTCCCGAATGCTGCTACATACTACTTATATCTGTCAGCATAAGTAGCATATACCATATATACAAGTTACTTTCCATGATGTAATTATTACAAATAATACTTTCCCATTAGTATTATGCAACTATGTTTTGCTTTACTCGGCAAAACAGAATATGTACATTCCTACTAGATATATATTTGTATTCATTTGAAAGGTAATCCATCTTACATAGATGCTGTTTATGGTGATACGCTCGATTTCAACATCTACTTAAAAAGGAAGTGAAATAGCAGATAGTGATCTTGTTAAAGTTATACAAAATTTCACATTTCTGTTCACATCAATCTACATTGAGTGTATAAAGCCTATTCATACACAAATAATCTAATTAAAGCTTAGTTTATACAAGTTATGTTGAGATGACAATAAGAAACTGTATTTAAACTCAGAAAAATCATATATATATACCACAACTCTTGGAGGAACATTGTGAATACTTCTTTAATGTTGAATACCAATTAGCATAAATCTAGGTTCAGGGATTATAGACGATTATATTCAGTTGTTTAACATTAACTCACCTAAATATGTAGTTTAATATTCTGAAATGATTTCGTACATGACTTCATACATGCTAATGAGCATCGATTGAGAGAAATGTATGTTTCTAAGATGCCGTTTATGTGCACACTTAAATTTACATTAAAAGTAGTAATACATAAACGTTAGTTCATAAAATAAACTAATCACCTTAAAAATACTGAAGTGATACAGCATTGTAAACCATATAAGAGATAAACCAAATGATGACTTACGGAAGTTGAGTAATTATTGTGATAAGAACAGCTTTAGTGATTTTATGATTAAGAATATTGTATTCAGTATGCATCCTAGCATCCCAGCTGGAAAAAAGACCATTTGTCAATTGCTTGATTCTTACATCTAACATTTCAACAGTGATGGACAATGATCTCCTACAGGATGGTTCACGTGTACAATATTAATCAAATTTCAAATGTATCATTTTAACAATTACGTTAAATTAAAACCACATAAACACTGAACTCACCTTTTGAATTCAAGAAATATTACTAATCAATTTAATAACTTTCCAAATTGGTTATTTTGTCACAAATGCTGCACAATATTTATGCGGTAGACTAATTTGCTTATTTTACTTGTGTAAGATAGAAAGATATTCACTTATGGTGGTAACAAAAGAGCCAATGTTTTCACTTTCAAAGATAATAAAAAAAAATCCCTGAATAAAATATTTTGCGAGAAATCGAAACTTTGAAAATTGACTGTGGTTGTGTGACTAGGTTGAATGTCGTCTTCCTTACTTTTTAAATTGGAATGGGTTATAGAGAGAGAGAGAGAGAGAAGAAAAACTTATTGATCTTGGAGGAAGAATACACGTGAACAGTCAAATAGGATTTTGTTGCCTTTGTTACACACAGTAAAATTTAACCAATCTTATGGCCTGACCTCTCTTGTCTGTGGACATATCTACAATGTTCATGTCAATTTTGTGAATACAACTGTGTCTATGCGTGTACATGCATATTTAATGTGCACACCGATAACACGATTGGTTGGTAGATAAACAGTCTATATTGATTTAGCAAATCGTTATTTCTTGGTAAATCTGAGGTAAAGTAACAAATGTTTTTTTTTCTTCAAAAAATTACTCTATTCCTTATTTCTTGTAATAGAGTGCCAAAGATTACTCCCCCATAAATTATCTTACTATCCTTCAACGAAATTCCAATCGGTAGTTTCAAATTTTACTGAATGAACTGTAGACAGTAATAAAGCATCACTGTGCTTCTATAACAGTACGTTTCTTGTGTTTAGTACCTCGATCGGAGACAGCATACTACTTATTTTCGATAAGTAAAATCAGGTGTTTAGCAATTATTCCTAAATTGAATTATTTCGTAATGTACAATTTAATGCTAGTCATTAAGTCAAGTACCTGATAGGTTGCTAGTCCTGAGCAGAGTTATTAAGTAAGCATATACATCATAAGCAATATAAAAATGACTATAAAGCTGAAATTCATTAAAGAAGCCTAAAATCATTCCAAGTGAAATAACTTGTCATCCACATCTAGTAAACTGAACGACTTTTAGTTGTCGAGGTAGTTGTATATCATGCGCGTCTTATTTAACAAACGAAAGTTAAACCCTCATAAATTTGAATGAAATAAAGTATGAGCTAGACAGATTGTTAGCTGAAGAAACTTTATTGTGTAATTTCGCCGGTTAGTAGTAAATTTTACAAACAAGTAAATCTCAATGACATAATTGGACTGGATCGTTTCAAATAAATTGAACATTTAATAAAATGCTGATAATAAATATTTTCTTTTCTCTTTGATATCTTAATGAGTAGAAAATTGTACTTCGGACGTTTCGTGACTTAATGTCAGTCGCCTATTCAGAATAAATAAATGATGGAAACACAAGTGTAAACAAGGAGTTATGAAACGTCAAAAATATAATTTTCTACTTTTTAAGGTATCACAAAAGTATATTTATTATAAACTGATAGATCATTATAAAATAATGAGCAAAACGCAATTTCGTAACCTATGTTAATCAAAGTCTGTAGAACATGTAGTTCAGTCAACTGAAAGTAAATCAAGAATAAACAAGTTAGTGTATCAATGAAAATGATTCGTTTCTTTTCTTCTATCGTTTGTATATTAATTCAATTAAATTATTCGACTGTAAACACTGTATAACAATCTAAAATGAATCAGCTCATTTGATAAAATGTTTAGAAAACATGGGGTGAATGTATCAGCAATTTGGAAATCAATATAATAAATTGTGTAATAATTATAGGAGATTCAAAGCAATTACATAAGTTATAAAAACTAAAGGATTGAAAATGATAGATAAACCAGGTCATTTAAAGTGAGTGATCTAACAAACGACTAAATGGAGATTACATAACAGAGAACGAATATTGATATTGACAATGTAAGTAATAGTAGCAACTAGAGGTGATTCAATCAAAAGTATTCAACTGTCTTACAGGAAACAAATTAAAAATTATTTTAACAGTTGAATTCATGAGTTGATGTAAGCTAGATCGCCATTGGAAACCTGGAAGCACTGGACGCCCATTTCGTCCTACTATAAGACTTCTCATCAGTGTGCACCCACGATCCCGCACGTAGATCTTTCACTGCTTCCAGGAGTTTGCAATGGTAGTCTAACTTAAATCGACTCATCAATTCTACTGTCAAAATTACTACAACCTCCACAAATCCCCATTCTAATAAAAATTATTTCTTTAAAAAACATAATTTTCCATTAAATTATTCTATTATGTGCTATTTCAGAGAAGCGTAATAAAATTGATCTATTCAACGATTTTCCAGGCAATTCTATTCACTAATGATAAATAACTTCAAAAACTAATGTAATTACAATTAGAATTACTGACAATTAAAATATGAATTAGAAAAGGAATTAAACTCCAATACATTTACTTTATCAGTCAGATCAGATCAGATAGAAAATAAGGTATCCTTTCTTTTTTATATCTAAAAAATGTAGTTAAATTCCGCCATACACATGATACTTATGATACTTTACATTTATAACCATTAAACTAATAACAGAAGAGAGAGAAGTAGAGGGTAAACAACAACCCATTTAGGTTATATAAAACCTCATTTTTTATTTGTTTTTTAAACCATATGATTTATTAAAGAGGAAGAATATACTTGTGTGATTTCAATGAATGACAATTGAAGTAAATCTACAGTGTTACCTGGTAATCTAGTTGAAGCATTTTCAAAGATTTTTTTAATTTTTTTTTCTTTGTTTTCGAAATATAATAATTTTCCTATTCGTTTCTCTTTTACAAACCACAACAACAACAACTATACCAACAAATAAAAATTGTTGTTATTAATGTAAACATAAAAAAAATAAGTTTTCATTAATCAAAGATGAATAATGATTAGCAGTGGAATCCAAGACGTGAATTTCGTCCTATTTGCAACTCATCAACTGGATACATCTACATCTGCGAGTTGATGTTCACTCCACTGCTATCTACTATCCACCTTTGATTATAATACTTGTGAATTAAAGCAATATTGATGTATTACATACAGTATACACATATGCTAATAAGAGACTGATCAATTGCAGACCTAAATAACAATGGGAACATATAAGTAAACAACAGTAAGTGAAAATTTTCATTAGTTTACTTTACTATACTTTAAATCACATTAACCTGATGAATAAATTACATACAACACAGTAGCAAAGTTACTATGGTATTGATAAGATTTTTATAAATTCTTTAAATAATAATTAAAGAATTCCAGTTTAGATGATAATGAAGATTTTTAGCTCAAGTGGTTAATTTTAGTGGAGTTTTGTTCTTTAAGTTAGTTGGTTTGGTTATGGAGATTTGATTGTTCTACTAAATAACATCATCAGCAAAAAAACTGTTCGAATTTCTTCATATATGAATCAAAGCTTGTCCTTTAGATTTTAGTCTTGGTTGGCTATTGTTGATATTTTAACTTGTCATTGTCTACTTCTTTGTTTTTATTGTATCTCCCATTATTGATTTGATCTTTGCTACTATATTTTTTCATGATTCTTTAGATTAATTGATAGATTATATCTATTTCAATGTGTTTGTTAACAGCTGGTTGACCTGAGTGTCAAGCTTTTAAAAATCTCCTGGTGTGTTTAGTATTCCCTCCATCCAAGATTTCAACATTTTCCCAGTCGAATGTGTGTCCACAGTTGTTCATGTCATGGAGTTTGACTGCTAACTGGTATTCGCATAGGCGAAGGTGAACAGGGCATCTACTTTGTTTGATGTAGTGTTTTTTTGCAGTTGAGACAGTTTATTTTGTAGATGATGTTCGATTTTTCTTCTTTTGCTATTTCTTCTTTTGATTTGCATAGATAGGATTGATTGAATTGATTTTGTTGGCTTGTGAGCTACACCTGATCCAAACCCGGGTCCAGGGTTTCCTGTTGACCACCTCCAACCACCATCTTACCTCAATATGAGTTGATTGAAGTCAAACAATAACGCTGTTGGATACCAAATAAGTGACTAACAGGTTAAGTATCCATGAGCGAGACCGCCAACTTAGGGTTCGATTCTTGCTTGTGAGATTGTGGTTGGGCACTTCTGAGAAGTCTGATGCTATAAAGAAACGGACTTTCATAACTGTCATGTCTCCAATGGTGATCCAGCTCATATCATTTAGTGATTTAAATGGTAAAAATATGGAGATTGTCGATGTTTTTATTGATTGGTCTGAAACTTTCTTTTTTATAAGTTATTCACCTTTTACTAACTCTGATAGTAGAAATGTATTTTGGAAATCTCAAAAGTATAAAAAGTTATATTTTCAACTATCATAATGCAGTCTCATGGTGCACAATGAACAATAATTGATTCATACGCCATTTGTTCGCTTTTTGTCTTCTCAATTTCGTAGAAAACACCCCCGTCCCGAGAAGGCAGTGAGTAGGACTTTACTGACAGTGACTGTATACGTGTGGCGATGTGAGAGCATTTGGAGAGGGAGGGATGACTCTCCCCACTGTCGACTGTATCAGGACATTAGGAGGCTACCAGTAACACTAAAAGCGAATTAAGCTAAATCGAAAATTGACTTGAGTTAAAAATTACAAATCGGTAGTTAGAAAACACTACATTCTATCAAATGCGTATATCACAAAGAGAACATATGAGATTATTGTAATATTATTGTCTGATAATATAATAATCATTTTTGTCAGATTTGCTAACTGTTTACCCAATTTATTTGAAACACTGAATGGTCAACATGGGAAAAAGCTCACTTTGGTTCACATTCAAGACTTCTGAATTGAAGATATGCATTTTATTTGACATTGGGAACAAATACGAATAGATATTAAAAGCTATTTACACTATCATAATAGATCTACATTACCATGAAGTTAATTGTTTACACCATTTAACGACTTTATTTAAACGACTGTTTATTTAGTGCATCAATAATAATCAAAGTAGAATCTACAACATATTTAAAATAGTCCGTATTGGTATGCCATGTAGGAATATCAAGATTAATTTAATAAGTAGTAAAAGAGTCGTTCTAATAGAAGTATTCATAAGTGGAGTTGGATGATGGCTGGCAGTGTAATTCAGGACGTGTGTTCCATCTTATTTGGGACGCGTTAGCTGGATGCACATACATCTCAGAGTTGATGTTATTTCCAGGACTCGAATCCAGTACAATTCGCTACAAAATCCATCGCGTTGTCCAATTTGTTGCTGAGCCAAGATAAACGCTGATTTATGCAATGAGGTG